AAGGAGACTGGTACTGGAGGGAGGGGGGGGGAGGAGGAGAGGATGGTAATTTTGTAAGGGAGGCGGTAGAGGGTAATTGTAGAAGAAAGGGGGAAAGAGGGTAATTGATGGTGCGGAAGAGGGAGGGGAGGAGAGGAGAGGGTAATTGTTCGTGCAGGGTACTAGCACTATCGGGAAACTGTGGGAGGGCGGGGGCATGAGGAAGAGAAGAGGAGCCTCTCCTGCACACTTGCGCATTTCGCCCTTCAACTGAGGTGCCATGGCGCAGCTCAAACCCAGCTCGGCCAATATAGGGAAAACTGCGCTTGGCGGGCGCCCAGCCCAGAATTGGCTCCACCAGTATGAAAACACTCCCCTCAAGCGGCTTCCGACCCGGCTCGACCGAAATCTGGCCTCGCAAAATCATATAGGATCCGGCGCTTGAGCTGAGCCTCGCCTGCGCTGAACTTGCCTCCTGCCGGCGTACCCCCGCCCAGGCCGCGCGAGCACTGCCGCCAGCGCAGCGCCGCTCGCGAGGCCGTCGTGGCGCAGAGGCGAGGCCCTGACAGCCAGGCGCGGGTCCGCTTGGGCGGCGTCCTCGTCGTCGTCCTGCCTCCTCGTCCTCGTCCTCGTTGTCCTCGCTGGCCTCGTTGTCCGCGCTTTCGTCCTCGTCGTCGTCCTCGTCGTTGTCGCCTTCGTCTTCGTCGGCGTCCTCGTTTCCTCCTCCTCCTCCTCCTCCTCCACCTCGTCCTCCTTTTTCCTCCTCGCCCTCCTCCTCCTCCTCCTTCTCCTTCTCCTCGTACCCATACTCGTTCTAGGCCTCGTCCTGGTCGCCGTTGTCCGCGTCGTCGCCCTCGTCTTCGTCCTCGTCCTCCTCCCCCTGCTCCTCCTCTTCCTCCTTTCCCTCCTGCTGCCCCTCGTATTCCTCCTGCTCATCCTTCTTATCCCCCTGCGTCTGCTCCATCCACTCCTCCCTCTACCCATGCAGATCATTCTCGACGTCCTCCTATGTATGCCTCCGACCTCCCTCCTCCTTCTCCTCCATATCCGCATCCATTCCCATCCTCTTCTTCCTCCCCATCGTCCTCCTCGCTCTCCTCGTCACACCCTCCCTCCTCTCTCTCCCTCTCTTCCTCACACCCCCTGCATATCGCACCTCTCGCAACGAACACCCTCGAACAGTTTTGTTTACCGTCACGGAGGAATCCAGTGGCAAAGGGGAGGGAAGACGACGACGAAGAAACGACAAGACAGAGAGAGCGGGGAGGGGGAGGGAGGGGGAGGCAGGGCACCCTCTGGGCGCCCCGCGCAGCGCCACAGCAGGCCCGCAGCCCGCGGCCCGCGCTCAGCACGCCGCTGATGGCCGCAGCCATGTGGCCCATGAGTTCCGCGAGCTCATGGACCAGCAGGCTGCCGAGCGCTGCGTCGAGCTGGCGCTGCACTTGCCCGCGCTTCCCCCCGGCGAGGAGGCGCAGCCGCCGAGCCAACTCGACCCTCGGCGGGGCGGCCGCTGGCCTGCGCACCCACCAGGGCAAGTCAAGGTGGTGGGCGCGCGCCGCCGCCGCCTCCTCCACCGGGCCTGGCCTGGGAGGCACCTGCACCGGCTCCGTGCCGAGAGCAGGCCACTTAGCCGCCGCCTGCTGAGCGGGAACGCCAGGAGAGTCCACCTCCACCGCGCCGCGCCCATGGGTTCGGGAAGCTCCCCCGGCGCGAAGTTGCCGGGCGCAGCTTCCGGCAAGCGCCCCCTTGGGGCCGCCAGGCTGCCGCCGCTGCCGAGGGGCACGCCTCGCGCGAGGTAGTTGGGCTCAGCCTCTGGCAACCGCCCCCCTGCAGGGGCCGCCAGGCTGCCGCCGCCCAGGGTCATGCCACGCGAGCTGCCAGGCGACGCCTCCGGCAACCTCCACCTGGGGGCTGCCGGCGCCGCCTCGGGGCCTCGTCGAGGCGCCTCGACCGCCAACGCCGCCTCCGCTTCGGGATGGCACTGGCTGGCCCGGCCCAGCCTCCAAGAGCCCGGCCGCAAGACTGGGGGGGGCCACCTCGACCAAGCCCGCCTGGGCCGCCTCCACGGCCGGCCTCCGCGCCTCGACCGGAGCGGGGGCTCCGGGAGGGCGGCCCAGGGCCTCGGGCCGAGCCGCGGGTCGGTTGGGGCGGGGTCGGGGCCCAGTCGCTCCACAACTGAAGGCAGAGCCTCGCCAGCGCCACCTCGTAGCCGGGCCGAGCGGTGCACTGGAGCCGCCTCGCTCGCGCCAGCGAGCGGCTCCAGAGATGCCAGCCCTGCGTGCTCCACCTCGCCGCCTTCCACGTCCGCCCAAGACTGCCGCGGACCTGCGGCGCCGAACCACGTACGGCGCCGAACCACGTACGGCGCCGAGGGCGCGGGCGCCGGCTGCGCGGCGCGGGCTCCGCTCAAGGCGGAGCAGAGTCGCGCGAGCGACGCTTCGATGCTGGCCTCGAGGCTGGGTCCGGGAAAAAACACCTCCACCGGAGCAGGGGCCGCCCGCGCGCCAGGGAGCGCCCCGGGAAGGCGTGTGTCCGCCACGACCTCGACCGGGGGCGCCCCGGGATCCGGAGGGCGGTTTGCGCTGCCACCTCGACCTCGGCCAGGGAGGCCCGGGAGGGAGGACCTCTACCTCGACCGGGCCTGGCCCGGAAGGGAGGGAGCCGAGGGCGTCGTACTCCCCCTCGGCAGTATGCGTCCTAGGCGGCACAGAATCCGAGGGAAGATGTGATGATCACACCGCGAAAGAGAGCAGGCAGGGAACGGGCACCAGCTCAGCTGGTCGTGAGGCGCAGCGGCACAGGACGAAGACCAGCGTACCACCTGGAGCGTGCGAAGGGCCGGCCCACGCGGGGCGCATCACCACAGGATATCCGCAGACCGGGGAGTGAGAAGGGGGAAAGGAAAGGCTAGCACAGGCCGAGGCCCGAACGCGCGACCACGGCAGTCAGCACGCGCTGCTGAGCATGAAAAGAGGCCCGGCAGCGAGGTCGCTGTGCTGCCCCAGGAAGTTCATATGGCGGAGAGGCGAACGACCAGGCTCGGCTCGAGGGGGGGGCGGAAGGGAAACTCTGCTGGGAGACTGCCTGTAGGCTGCGCTTGGCAGAAAAGAGGACGGAAGACTCCTCTCCCTGAGGGTGCAGGTCCTGTTCTCCTCCTCCTCCTCCTCCTCCTCCTCCTCCTCCTCGTCCTCGTCCTTTTCCTCCTCCCCCTCCTCCTCCTCCTCCTCCTCCTCCTCCTCCTCCTCCTCCTCCTCCTGGTCCCCTCCTCCTCCTCCTCCTCCTCCTCCTCCTCATCTCCTCCTCCTCCTCCTCCTCCTCCTCCTCCTCTCCCCTCCTCCCTCCTCCTCCTCCTCCTCCCCCTCCCCCCCTCGCTCCTCCTCCTCCTCCTCCTCCTCCTCCTCCTCCTCCTCCTCCTCCTCCTTGCTGGAGCGGTGTGGGCTCGTGCTGCTCAGGGACGAGCTGCTCACACTTCTGATGGTCAAGTCCATGTTCGGCGGCGAGCCCCAGGGGGAAGTGAGAAGGAAATGGCCTTCCCAGAATAGACAACAAATTATCCCAATGCGACCCTACCTAGGAGTTGAGACCCATAGGAAAGCAGCATTAGTAGTAACAGTAACGCTACGCTAAATCTAAACTAAAGCTAAACTAAGCTAAAGCTAAGCTAAAGCTAAGCCACAGCTAAGCTAAAGCTAAGCTAAAGGTAAGCTAAATCTAAGCTAAATGTAAGCTAAAGCTAAGCTACAGCTAAGCTAAAGCTGAGCAGCAGCTAAGCTAAAGCTAAGCTAAGCGAAAGCTAAGCTAAATCTAAGCTAAAGCTAAGCTACAGCTAAGCTCAAGCTAAGCAAAAGCTAAGCTAAAGCTAAGCTCAAGCTAAGCTAAACGTTAAGCGAAAAGCTAAGCGAAACGCTAAGCTAAACGCTAAGCGAAAAGCTAAGCGAAACGCTAAGCTAAAGCTAAGCTAAAGCTGAGCTAAAGCTAAGCTAAAGCTAAGCTAAAGCTGAGCTAAAGCTAAAGCTAAAGCTCCCAGGGGACTGGGGGGAACCGCTCCCAGGGGACCGGGGGAACCGCCCAGGGCGTGTGGCACTGCCCGGCCCCTTTAAGCTAAGAGAGTAAGAACCCTTCTAGGCAGAGCCTATGTAGGGAACAATCCACCCCCATAATAACCACCACGACACGCGAAAGCGTTCAGTAAACGCGCCCAAAGAAGGAATCGCACAGGAAACGCTCAGAGCCGTTTAGTGTATTCCACCCCCCCGAGACCAGGGACAATTTTTTATCTGAGAGGCTCAACTTCCGCCAGGACCTGAGAGACAGCCAGCGCCGACAAACATATACAAATGGGAGTGGGCGCCGGCCACCAGATCCGCACTGACAGAAAAGAGAGCCAACTTTACTTGTCCACTGGCCCGGAGGGCCGCGCGAAAGAACGATACAAACCTACTAACCTACCAGAGGTGACTGGCCATGCCTTGCGCCTTGAGCGCGACGAGAGCATCAGAGAAGGCCAGCGCTAACGCCCGACAGAGCCGAGGAGGGTATGGTTCAGCCACCTCCGTCCAAAACCGACCCTCCGAGTTTTTACCCTGGAGGTTCTGGTGAGGCCCATGAAAGGCCGAGCACAAATTATTCTTTCTTTTACACAGTCTTTCTATCGAAGTTAAATCAATCAGGACGCCCAAAAACTTTGTTCTTTTACGCCAGGGCGCCCCGAATTGGCAAAAGTCGGTTGAAACAACCTGAGAGGAAGAATTACGAGCGAGGGAGACGACGGCAGGCGCAAGCCGAATCCTACTGGTGGCGGGGTTCTCCATTGTGCCCGAAATTCTCATCCTCCGACAAACATGTAAACACGATACGGTGAAGGACATGAGGGTGTTCCCGAGATCGACTTTGGCCTGGTCAGCTGCAGACAGGTCCTTGAGCCCCGGGGCGAGATCGTTGGACCTCAGCGGCGGCGGGCCTGGTGGGATGTCCCGCGCTCGGGGCCACGACGAGCAAGGGGCGCCGAAATGCACATGCAGTATAGCACGACCAAGAATCCACCCGCGAATCAGTGAACGCTTCGAAGGCGAGGTGAGATCGAACTGATCGCCATACTTCACGCCCCAAGCCAACACGTGAAAACCCTGCGCCGCCATCGCTCGGCCAAGCCGAGCAGTGCCAGCGAACACCTCCAAGAAGACTCGCATCCTCAGGGGGCGCGGAACCCGCGTGGCTGCAGCGATCCGGAGAGCGCCGCGGGGAGGTACCTGAGGCACCAGCGTGCATGGTTCTGGAGGCAGAGCGGCAGCTTGGCGAACTCGCTGCCCAGTCTGCCCCCCTTCTCGTAGCGCCTGACGCTCGCGTCTGTGCGCCACCTTCCCCGGCGCTTCACCCCGACCAGCGTCCTGCGCTGCTCGGCGAAGTCGCGGCTGGCGCCCGAGTGCCGCAGGATGTAGGGCGGCGGAGGGCGCTGCAGCAGCAGCTTTGCGCCGGCCGTCTTGAAGCACCGCGCGAACTCGGCCTGGCTGAAGGCGAACAGGGGCTCCTGCGGGTCGCGGCCGAGCACGAGACGCTGGCAGAGCGGCGCCAGCCACTGGTCCTCCTCTAGGTCCAGCAGCAGCGACTCGTCGAACTCCCCCGTCTTGCTTGGCAGGCTGCCCTCGTTCTCCAACGGGTGCAGCACCAGGCTCCAGCGGGCAAGCCCGCGACTGCCGCCCACCGCAGGCGGCGTCAGGTGCTCGACGCGCACTGTCCTCCAGTCGCCGGGCCTCATGAGGAAAACGAGGGACAGCATGGTGCACACGGCCATGCTCCAGCGGTCCATCACCAGCAGCTCCATCGCGATGGCAAACACCACCTCGGACGGCAGCGGCAGGCGGCTGGAGGCGGGCGTCAGGAGTCGCCAGCCCTTCAGCGCCTGCCGCGAAAGGGGAAGCCCGTGCCCCCCCACGCGGCCCAGGCGAGGGTCTGCCCAGGCGATCGCCGCCATCATGTTCGACCCGCGCCAGTGGTCGTAGCCCTCCATGTACTGCTCGTTCATCCAGTCGCTCAGGTCCTGGTCGAACTGGCCCACGGTCCCAGCACCCAGGCGGCCGCTCGGGCACGGCCTGCGACTCAGGCCGCTGGGCCCGAGCCACTGGTCCAGCTCCTCTAAGAACTCCGAGTAGCGCAGGCGCACTGCTTCGGTCCGGACGGACCGAGCCTGCAGATAGCGCTGTCGTCCTGCTATCGGCAGCCGCAGCGCTCGCCGCGCTGCCTTCAGCTGGGTGGCAGCGCTGCGCAGCAGCCGCGGGCATGTCCTCGCAAGGCCCAACGGGCGCCAGGGCGGCGCGCCCGGCGACGAGCCTGCCGTCGCCACGCTCGGCGGCGAGGACGCCCTCGGCCGTCGCCGACCCAGCACTGGGCAGCCCCGCACTGGGTAGGTCAGCGCGGGCGGCCTCGGGCCCACTCGCGGCGCCACAGCTGTCCCCCGCGGCGCGGTGGTCGCTCTGGGCGTCGACCTTGCCAGCAGAGGCCCCTCCGTATCCAGCGTGTCCAAGCCCCCGCGACGGCCCGTCAGCACGGTTCCACTCGCTGGGGAACCAGCGGCCCGAGAAGACCGCGCCCGTGGCAAGGCCATGGGCGGCCGCGGATCGGAGAGCGGCGCAGACGCCGACGGCGGATGAGCGTCCTTTGCACAGAGCCAGCACGCATGTAAGGGAATCCAACATGAGAAGGTGGCGACGTCCAAAATTCTTCATAGATCGGCACATGTTTTACAGCAGCAGTGAGGCCCCGAGCCTCTCCCTGAACGATGTTGGAGATGGGCACCCCCCATTTCTTGCTCATCAGCACCGCCCACCCCCTCTCCTTCAAGACCTCCGGCAGATCCGAAAGGGCGTCCTCCCTCTCCTGACTGTCCTCCTCCACCTTCTTCACCCAGTCGCCGATGTCGAGCTCCCCGTCGGGCCCCAGAACCCCTTCACGAGATCTGACCTGAGCCTTACCCGAGAACCGCCATCGTTCACTGACACGCCCTAGTTGTTGAACTTTGTCCGGAGGGAGGTCCCGTGAGACGACGCCGTAGCCCCAGAAAGAAGCGTCCGATGCCATAACCTTCGAACTCCACGGAGCCCCAAAATCACGACGAATCAAGGGAATGACGTTCCTGAAGGCCTCGAGCTCCCAGCGAACAGACTCCCAGAGCGGCACGGTGCCGTGATCACGATGACGAGCGATGAAGGTGTAGACGGACCGGAAGATGGAGAGCGAGGTCCGAGAGAGGAGGGCTAGGAAGGTGCAGTGCCCCACAACTTTCTCGACGTCGCGGGCGGACACCTTCTTCGTTTCTAGCAGGCCGTCCAGCGCAAGACGTATGCGCCACGCACGTTCTGGACGCGGTCGAATGAAGCCCAGTCTTCCGTTGATTTCCCACCCAAAAACCTCCTCCTCCAGTGAGCTCGTGGCTACCTCGCGTGTCGGAAGGCCCCGGGACTGCAGAGCTTCATCGACCTGACGCACCAGCCGCTCGACTGTCGATCGGCAGGTGCCCAGCGCCAAAAAATTGTCAACGTAGACGGTGTGGCACGCGGGGGTGGTCGCAGGCGCTGGCCCTCGGTCGTGTAGAAACGAGGTCGGCTCGAGGCCCGGAATATCCTGGATGATACGGCGATGCAAGGTCTGGCAAACCCACAGTGCGCGTGACCATCCCATGGGAAGCACTCGAAGCCGCGGGTGCACAGGGGTGCCCGGGCTCACTCTCACGCCGCCCACCTCAGCAAGGCCAGCCACCCAGGCCGGCGCCGCCGGCAGCGCGAACAAGTTGCGCACGCGCTCCGGCAGCTCGAAGTGGTAGAAGGCATCCTTGATATCCACGTGGCCGACGTACAGCCGCGCCCCGTCCGGCACCTCTAAGTTCCCGAGGCCAGCGCCCGTGCTGAGCTCGACGGGGTCCGCGGCCGAGAACCAACAGTTGGAGCGGCGGCAGTCGACGACCAGCCGCTGGCTCCCGTTTTTCTTTCTCACGAAAAAGAGCGAACAAAACTCCTGCGGCTGGATGGTGTAGTCGATCATCCCGGCCCTCTCGAGCCTCTTGACCAGCCGCCGGTACTCATGCGGAGAGTTCCGAAGCACCTCGTCCATGTAGGTCTCCCGAGGGGCCCCCTTGAGGTTGTGGGAGGCTGCTTCTAGTTTGAGAAGATGAGAGTCAAGAAACCCGTCGACTTCAGCTTGACCACCGGCCCCAAAAAGATCTGCCAGGGGAACGGGACGATTACCGCTCATCGGCAGGGAGGCCTTCATATCGTCGAAGGGCACCACGGTGGACTGGACGTCCTCGTACACCGTGCACCCCCAGAGCTCCTGCAGGGCCCCCGAGGGCGAAAGAGCAGGTGGCGGGCCCATCGCCGCGGCGGCCGCATATACACGTCGCTGCACAGCCCCGTGCGGGGCCCGCCCCTCGCCAGGCTGCGAGACGGAAGACCCCCGCTCGCCGCCTGCCAAGTCGCTGAGGGTGTAGATCGCCTGGTTGGCTATGCTGGCGACGGCCTGGCGCCCCAGGATGCGACGCCTCACGCGCCGACATGGAGCCCGAGGTCGGTCGTCGCCTCTAGCCGCTGAGTAGACGGAAGCGTCGATGTCAGCAGTACTCCAAGCGAGATAAGGAAGAGGAAAAATGTCACGATGGCGTGGGCCATCCGAGCGCAGCGGCCGAGCTGGCTTATCCGAACTGGGAGGCCCAAGCCCAGGAGGATGACTATGAATTAAGCCTTCGTCAGGTACGATACAGTGCAAGCCAGGAGGTAGTGTCGGGGCAGGAGGGCGATGCTGGCTCCCCTCCTCCCCGGGGGCCTTCTCCCCTTCTCCTTGTTGTTGCCCTTGTTGTCCTTCCTCCTCAGCTCCCTCTCCTCCTTGGCCTTCCTGATGTTCTTCATGATGGCCGCGTCCTTCTCTACTTGCAACTTCACGTGCTCTAGGAGAGCGGGCGCCACCATCATCAAGTCCCCCGCGCGGCTGAGGCCTGAGAAGGCCGTGGCCTCCTCGATGGATAGCCGCGAGGTGGACCCTGCGTCCGTCTCCCTGATCTTATCGTGGTAGGCCCACTCGATGGTCTGCACCCTACGCGCCGCCGCCTCCATGCACGCCAGGTTCGTCACATCCAATTGGTCATACTGCCCCGCAAGCTCGATGATGCGAAGCAAGGTCGCGTGCTCGGCCACCCCCCACTGCTCAGGCTTCAGCGAGCACGTGCTGCGGAACATCAGATGATGGTCCAGGGGGGTGTGCCGACGTCGTAAGAAGTGCAGGCACCAGCTCATGCTGCGGGGCCCGCTCACAGGGAAGTCCTCGAACTCCTCCTGTTGGCAGCTATCCACCACATCACGCCAGTCTCGCATACGGCCCTGCGGGTTGAACTTGATGGCCAGCGTGCGCGCATCCTGCGCCGAGGACTCCTTGGGCGGGGGTCGCGGTGCCACCCTCTTGACGAAGTCGCCCTCGTCCTCGTCACTGAACTCCACGAACACTGAGTCCTTGCCGTCGGGCGAGTAGACGCCCTTGCAGCCGATATACACCGTCACGGGCTTCACCTCACGGCCCACGTCGTAGCCCAACGAGTTGCCTTCCTCCACCACGCGCCACACGCCGGTCCCCGGCGTAGCAGTCCCTGCCACCACGGCTCCTCCCGCGTCTGCGCCGTCAGGGGCACCGTCACGTAGCGCCGGCTGCACGAACCCTGCGCCTACGACCTCCTCGATCGGCACCCTGCGGCCGCCCGGGGCCCGGGCCACGGTCATGGTGACGGGGGACTCGCCGTGCTCCCTGGCGTCCTTCAACGCTATGGTGGCACCCTTCTTCACGCACTTCTCTAAGAGGGCCCCGTCGATCTCGCCTCGCTGGAAGGAGTACACGGCGTCCTGGAAACCAACAGGGAGGCGTCCGTCGGTCGCCGGGCGGATCCATTCCACAGGGCTGTCGTCGGGACTCCCCCCCTCGATCGTCTCCACATACATGTCTCCGTCGGGTGTTGCCACCACCCAATGCACGGCACCACTCTTGTCGACGGGCAGCGCCCAGCACAGCACTCGCTCATGCCAAAGATCGTCCGCGGCGCAGCGGCCTAGAATCACGTCCCCTGGCACCAGGTCGGACGATGACACCACGGCCAGCATGCTGTCCTCGACGAGCGCACCCTTGGACAAGGCAGGCGACCGAGCCAGCTCCGCAGCCCCAGGCCACCGCGCCGATCAGCACCACGGCCCACAGCGGCAGGCAGGCGGCCAAGCGGCCGTCGGCGCCCGCGTCCTCGCGGGCCGGCGAGGGGCACGGCGCCACCTCCCCGCGTGCCGGCGCCTCACACGGCGGGCACGCGGGAGCCGCGCAGGTCACCTGCGGGCAGGTCAGCGCCGGGGGCGCCGGGCAGGTGAGCGAGACCGGTGGGCAGCTCAGTGCAGGCGCCGGGCACCCCGGCTGCGGCGGGCAAGCGGGGCAGCGGCCCAGCCAGGCTCCGCCGATGTTCGCCGCCCCGAGGATCGCTGCCTGGGCGATCTGGCCGACGACCATGCACCAGTCCTGATCGTCGCGGGGCCGTCGAGGGCTCGCGTCGAAAAAGGCTTGAGCAGAGGTAGCCACATACGGTGGACGGCTTTACAAGTGAGCTGCAATACAAACTCGTGTGGAACACTGCAATAAACGCCAATGGTCTGGTCTGGGTGTTTTGTTCCTCCCTTGGCAGGAGGCTTGGAAGGCCCCTGGCCCTCTGAGAAGTTTCCTGAGACCTTCCCCGAAGACGCACCGCAGACTTCCCAAAAGGCGCGAGGGCCTCTGAGAAGAGGTCTGGGCGCCTTCTGAGAAGGCCTTCTCCCTCTCGATTCCCCACTTCGCTCGCCGCCGAGTATTGTAATCCTGAGGGGGTTTTGGTGAGCCCGTGCATGCTCCGGCAATTACAGCGTAGCCGATGAGACCCCAAACGCACCTGCTGCCTGCAGTTCTGGTTTGGTGCGTTCGATTCGATTGCGCTGGGAGGCGTGACGAGATCACAACGGCACACCGTTTCCACCTGAACTGTGGAAAATTGTTCCGAAAACGAATGCCACCTGCGGCCTTACAACGCTCCAGAGCATCCTGTAGGGAACGAACGCGAGTCGGGTATGCGTGGCAGCCAGTGCAAAAAGAACACATCGCCTTCAGCCGACAAACAAACACTATGCGACCTTCATGCTAGTTACCGCTGGGCTAATCTAGCATACAGCGCCGCCAGCGGAACCTGTGGATGCTGGTGTTCGTCACCCGAGGTGACAAGCATCGACGTCCTTCCACTGAAGGCCAGACATCGGGCCTTGACTTGAGCCACTCCCACCCTCATACCTGGAGCCGGCGCGCTACACGGATATCACACCAGAATTATCTGGGCGGCGATACGACCTGACTTACGATCTCCCTGCGCACGAGCTGCTGTGCGAATGGCCAGGCGCCGGGTGAACGCTCATCACTTGGCCCCTCCCTTTACCAACCTGGAACATATCCCTATCCCTATGCTGGGCATCTCCTCATTACGATGCCAATCTTAGGGATTCCCTTATTTGTTGAGGGCGAATCCCTAAGATTGTCATCGCCTCTTGGAGTGTCAATCTTAGGGATAGGAATACGTTCGAGGCTGGTAAATCCATGCCGATAGTCTCTAGCACGCGAGGCGGTGGTGTGTCCGGCAGCTGCCGAGGCCTCGACAGCGCCCGATCCTTGGTTGTGCCAGCTGCCTCCGCGTTCCCTCCCGGAGGTCCTTTGGGCCCTCGCCGCCTCCGCGCAGCACGCCTCCCTTCGACCACTTGTTTTTTTTGTTTTGACTCAAATGGTGCGGAAGAGGAGGAACTAACGGCTGCGGCGGAACCTGCGGCTTACCCTACAGGGTCAGCGCCCCCCCAAAAAAGGGGAGCGTGCCAACAACGGGCCTCATCAAGGAGGTCAGAGGGGCGGAAAGAGAAAGAGGAAAGAGGAAAAGAGGAGGCGAATACAACCTGGCCCAAGAATGGCCACGCGTACAACAACGATGATGCTCTCCCTTCAACCACTTGTGTCGAAGCTGCCCCGCTCGAGGCCACGCCGTGCGAGCAAAACTCCGGCGGCGAGCTGGGGACCCCAGCTTGCAACCGAGGCCACAGGCTGCTTTGCCCCAGCACGACATAGCGCGCGTTCGGCGGCGGGAGGCCCACCAGGGCCTGGGGGCCAGGGAGACGGAGGCCTCCAAACCTCAGCGGTCCACCGCGAACATTGCCTGGAGCCGCGCGGGCATCAAGACCGTCAGCGCCTCTCTCGCGCGGGCGGGCGAAGGTGACGGTGGTGGGCGTGCGTCCGCACATCCCTGCTTTCACTCTGGAAGCCTCCCCACGCATTGCCACCGCCCCTTCCCGAGGCCCGCGAGGAGCGGGGGGAGGAAGCGAGCCAGAGCCTCAGACTCGGCCATCGTGACTCCCTGGATCGCAGCCCAGCGAGCCAAGGAGGCTACAGCGTCTCGCAGGTCGGCAATGCCTTCTTCTGCACTGCCTGCGATCTGGGTGCAAAAGGGGGCTCCTCGGCCAGCATAAACCTCTGCCGTCCCGCGATCGTCCTCCTGCCCACCCCATTCCTCCCAGGGCGCCTTCTCTGTCGCCGCCTCCTCCCTCCCGATCCTCCACCTTCTCCTCATCCATGTCCTCCTCCTCCTCCTCCTCCATTTCCTCCTCCTCCCTCCTCCTCCTCCTCCTCCTCCTCCTCCTCCCTCCCCCTCCTCCGCCTCCCCTCCCCATCCTCCTCCTCTTCCTCCTCCTCCTCCTCCCTCCTCCTCATCCTTCTCCTCCTCTGCCTCCTCCTCCTCCTTCCCCTCCTCCTCCTCTCCTCCCCCCCCTCCTCCTCCTCCCTCCTCCTCCTCCTCTCTCCTCCTCATCAGCAGCAGCAGCATCAGCAGCATCAATCATCATCATCATCATCATCATCATCATCATCATCATCATCATCATCATCTCATCATCATCATCATCATCATCATCATCATCATCATCATCTTCGTCACCACCACCACCACCGCCGCCAACACAACCACCACCACCACCATCAGCACCATTCATCATCAGCCGCAGCATTATCATCAGCATCACCATCACCAACACCACCAGTATCATCATCATAATCATCAGCATCATCATGAAACATCAGACTCATCATCAGCATATTCATCATCATCATCATCATCAGCATGATGATGATCATCATCATCATCATCAGCATCATCATCATAAACCTTAGCATCATCATCATCAGCATCAGCAGCAGCATCAGCATCATCGCCATCATGATAAGCATCATCCTCATCATCAGCAGCATCAGCATCACCGTCATCATTATCATTATCATCAGCAGCATCAGTATCATAATCGTGAGCAGTATCATCATCATCACCAGCAGCATCAGCACCATCACCATCACCATCATCAGTATCATCATCATCAGCAACAGCATCAACATCATCATCAGCAGCATGACCAGTAGTCTCATTAGCATCATCAGCATCATCATCATCATCATCACCATCAGCATCATCATCATCACCATTATCAACATCAGCATCATGATTATCATCATCGGCAGCATCAGCATCGTCATCAACATCACCATCGTTACCATCAACACCATCATCATTTACAACATCAACATCATCATCACCATCATCACCGTCACCGTCACCGTCACCGTCACCATCACCATCACCATCACCATCATCATCATCATGATCATCATCATCATCATCATCATCATCATCATCATCAGCATCCCGCCGGGGCCTGCTCCAGCCATGCTGCTCTTCCTGCCCGTCTGCCCCATTCTCGTTCTCCACCTCCTCGGCCTCCTTGTCCTCTGCCTCCCCACCCTCCTCCACGTGCACCTCCAACCTCATCGCGCTCCGCTGCCATCCCCACCTCCCTTCGTCTTCCTCTCATCACCCCGATCCACCCCTCTCCATCCATGATCCCCCCGCCATCCTCCTTACTCCTTTTCTCCGTCCGTTTTCCGATCTTCCCTCCCATCGTCCTTACTCCCATCCTTCTTCTCCTTCCCTCGCCTCCGAGCTTACTCCCCGTTTGCGAAAGTCCATCTCCCCCCCCTCCTCTTGTACTTCCCTGGCACATCCGTTCCTCACCTCCCCCACCTCCCCCCCCCTCCTTCATCTTCATCGTCCCCCCTTCCTCCGAAGCAGGAGAAGGGTGGGTAAAGAGAGATGCTGGTAGTGGGAGCGGGGGAGAGATACAGAGAGAGAGAGAGAGAGACAAAGAGAGAAAGCGAGACGCAGACAGACAGACAGACAGACAGACAGACAGACAGACAGACAGACAGACAGACAGACAGACAGACAGACAGAGACACAGGCAGGCAGGCAGGCAGGCAGGCAGGCAGGCAGGCAGGCAGGGCAGGCAGGCAGGCAGGCAGATCGAGACAGAGACACAGACAGAAACGGACGGGCAAGCAGACCAGCACGAGAAGGACGGGGGGACGGAGAGGGGAGGAGGGGAGGAGGAGGGGGAGGAGGAGGAGGAGGTGGAGGGAGGAGGGAGGAGGGAGGAGGGAGCAGAAGGAGGAGGAGGAGGAGGAGGAGGACGAGGAGGGGGAGGAGGAGGAGGGGGAGCCGCAAAGACGTGCTCCACCGCAAAGAGGAGGCCTCGACAGCCGGAACGCGGGCAGGCCGAGCGACACCGACCAGAAGGCACCTGCAGGGCGCTCTTTCTTCCAGAGGGGGGGAGGAGTACACCCTGCGATAAGCTGAAGAAATCATGGGTTTAAGAAATTCATAGTTTCAGAATTTGATATAAAACCCAGAAGTCCTATCAAAATCTTAGGAATTAAATTGAAACATTAAGAATACTCGAGACTCTGGCCGAAACTTTAAGTTGTCTTAAGCATCGCCTACGGTGTACAGGCAGGCACGAGGAGGGGGGGGGAAACAGAGAGGGAAGGCGAGAGAAGAGGCAGGGAGGACGGAGACGACCAGGCGCGGCCATCAGAGGCTCGCCTTCCCGTCGGTCCGGGTCAGGAGCTGCGGCTCGCGGGCCGGAGGGGTTCGAATGGGACCTCGTTCGCGAGGGAACGGAGACGGAGAGGAGGGGGGCAGGGAGAGAGGCCGTCTTGACAGCGCAGGAGGGCAGAGGCTTTGCCGTGAGGGGGGGAGACGATCGAGGGAGCATCCGCAGAGGAATGCAGGAGACGACGCGGCAACATGGGGGTCGGATGGGGCTGTGTTGGCACGGAGTCGAATTTACATTTAAGTTGGGCCTGTCATCCTACAGGGGGATATTCTACGCAAAATAAGAAGTGGTCAATCAATGCCCCCAAATGGTCCAAGAATGCTCAAAAACAGTTCCAATACGATGTTTTGACTATGTTTGGGATATTTCTCCTGTAGAGGGACAGGCCCGACTTAAAATCACACCTGATCGGCCACGCCAGGCTGCACGAAAGGAAAGGGCCATGCAGACATCGGGCCGTACTGGAACACCGCCATCTCGGAGTCGGGTCGGAGCGGGCGGGTCGGCCTCTCCCTCTCTCTTTATACATATGTATGTATGTATGTATGTATGTATGTATGTATGTATGTATGTATGTATGTATGTATGTATGTATGTATGTATGTGTATATCTAGATATGCGTGTGTGTATCGAGTCGGTCCGAATTGACCCAGAATGATGGGCCTGTTTTTCACCACCACCACCACCATGAGTTGGAGGGGGAGGGAGTCCTCCTCCTCCTCCTCCTCGTCCTCCTCCTCCTCGTCATCCTCCTCCTTCCCTCCTCCAACCGATGGTGGTGGTGGAAGACAGGCTCATCACAGCAAGGCCGACGGGCATGCGAAAGCTCCGCCGCAAGGTTCGAAAGGGTGAAAAAGGCTGGAGCGGCCACGGGCTGCACGGCCACTCCCGAATCCGCCCGTGGCCGGCAAGACCTGGGGCTTGGGACGTGCTGAGATTTCGAGAACCAATCTCTTCCGCAAGTCGGTCGCGTGAGGTATAGGCGGGCAGGGGCCGGAACGGTGAGAATACAATGGCCCTGACAAACCAAACCTCAGGTACCATCATGCATTTGGAGTTCCGGAATGGTGCGGTGACAGACCGTGCGGTGACCTTGAAATCCCCGAAGACCTCACCGCACGGTCCGTCACCGCGCGGTCTTGGGACCCCGGAGGCCCCTGTCCCCCGAGACGTCCTCGGAGAGAGACCCGAGTCCCAAAACCGTGCGGTGACCTTGAATCCTTACCGACACACCGCACGGTGTGGTCACCACCCCGTTTGGGGGCCCCCGAATGGAGGGCTGGAACGGTGAGAGTCCAACGGCTACGCCGGAGCCTCTAGACCTGGACAGGCAACGCCGCGCTCTTCCGCCAGGTCTGGGAAGCTGACAGCAGGGTTATAAGGGCGCGCCGTACTCCGTCTGCACGGGCACCCAGAGCGACATCGACGACTCGACGCTCGTCACTCAGATCTGCAACCAGAAGTGGGCAAAGATCGCCGTCGAATAACCAGAAGAAAAATCATCCAACATCTAGACCTCGGCAGGGACCGAAGAACGGCAGGGACGGGAAGGACCCGAAGAGACTACGCATGCACTCACTGAAGCCGCAGGCAGACGACTGGCCACCGCCCCCGTCGTGCGCCGCGATCTCCCTACCAGACACAACACCACGGTCCACTAGTCCCCCTCAATCTGGACGCCACCAGACCACCAGCCAGAAGACTCAAGCTGGACTCACCAGACGACTGTGATGTGCACTCGCCACCCTCGTCGACGCTGCGCCCTCCTCGCGTCAAGAGGGGAACGGGTTTTTGTCTCCCTCCCACTTCCCATAGTTTTCCATATTTTCCTTGGAATCGGCGGTTAATTGTGTCTGTGTTTTTTCCCCTCCTGAATCTAGACTTGCAGAACCTCTCGACCACAACCATCCGTCGATGCCTGGGAGTGCCAGGCTGTTGTCAGTCACTCGCGTGGGCGCCCACATCGCCAAGACTCACTCCCTGGACTCAGGCTCCCGTAGACGGGACCTTTCACAAACCAGGCCACTGGCGCGCCCGGGACAAGACTGCAGCCGCGCGTCGAGACATTCTCGGGTATTCGTTCTCTCGGGGTTGAGTTTGCAAAGTCCTGGTCTGATCGACTCAGTGTCCGAGCCTGTCAATCTTAGGTCGGGGGGCATGTCCTCCTACCGGCGGATTTTGGAGGACAAATGGAAACTTGTCAAACAATCCTAAAAATAATCAAACAATTGACAACATCGTCCCTTGACTATTTTGTACCATTCTTGAACATCCTCCTGTAGAGGGACATGCCCGACTTCATGCCAGTCGTTACACTCTGGACCCGCGACGGCATCAGAGGAGCGGGGAGAGCTGGCGGAGCAGTCGCTCTTGCAAAAAGCCGCAGGGCCTGCCACCCCATCGCTGCTCAACACTGCCGGCCTGTGCAGCTCGTACGCCAGGTCGGTGCTGGGGCCGAAAGCGGCCAGCGTCAGAAACTGCAGGCAGGTGAGGTAATAGATGCCCATTGACCTTGGTTTAGACAGGTGTGCAGGGCAGAAATAGACAAGCACATGCGTGAACGAAACGGCACGCGAGTCATTGAAGCGACATCTGAACGACACGGCCACAGCAGCGGGCACCTACACACCAATCAATGGATTACCATCGGAACTTATGATTACAGATGGGTTCGGGGGGTTCCCTGGGAGGGTCTCAAAACATCAGAACAGCCCGCGAGGGGTTCCCTGGATGCTCTGGAAGCTGATGGGTGACTCCAGGCCTTCTGCGGCTCCTGCTCCTGCTTCTTCTCACCTCTCATGTTGTTGCTCAGCCTCCTGCTCCTGCTCCGATTGCTGCTGGTAAGCTCTGGTGCTGGCGACGCTGCTTCAGCAACTGCTGTTGTTGCAAATGGTGTTGGTGATGCTCGGTGTGTGGCTGGAGGAAGCTGCTGTGACTCACAGCCCCCCAAACACACCGGGTGCGCATGTGCGAGCCACCGCGTCAATAAACACTACACTGCCCGTGAGCAGCCCCGCGGCTCCGGTGAGCACTGCGATGCCTGCGAGCGCGACAGCACGCATGGGGGATACGCAATCTTCGCTCGACCGTTCCAATTGAGGAGCCTTGCCATCGCTCGGACGTCCATTTCCTGTGCATTTGTCGGTTTCGTGCGTGTTTATTTTGCTCGATGGTCCAGGATCGTCCTCAATGGTTCTCGCCGAGAAAAAATGCACACGTCCGAGCGATGCCATGGGAACGAAAAACGGCATAAACAGAAACCTCTGGAGCTCAGCGCGCATGTTTCGCATCCGCGCCGGACACCCCGCCTCGGCGCGCGGAGCGCGCCCAGGGGCCGCGCCGGAGGCGCCGCTTGTGGGGCCCAGACACAAATCTACGCGGAACAAAAGTTTATGTTCGTGCCGTGTTGTATGTTACGAGATGCGCGGTCTTTGCTCGTCCGTGCCAACGCCGTCGCAGGATCGAGCCGCCACATGACGGGCAAATTTCCACCACCACCACCCCATGTAGGACGGGGGGGAGGGAGGTTCAGGAGGTCCTGCTCAGCCTCCTCCTCCGCCTCCTCCGCCTCCTCCGCCTCCTCCTCCTCCTCTGCCTCCTCCTCCTCCGCCTCCTCCTCCTCCTCCGCCAACTCCTCCTCCTCTGCCTCCTCCTTCACCTCCTCCTCCAAGCTCTCCTACCTGTGGCAGTGGTTGTGAACTAACACTGGGCCCACTACCACATGCCCACTAACACTGGGCCTACTACCACATGAGTCGGCTAGCCCCGAGCTCGTCTGCCTCGGAGCTCGCAAGGGGAAGGCGGTTGAGGGCCGCGGGGCGGCACGGCGGGTCGTCCTCGTGCTCCTCCTCCTCCTCCTCCTCCTCCTCCTCCTCCTCCTCCTCCTCCTCCTCCTCCTCCTCCTCCTCCTCCCCCTCCTCCTGCTGCTCCTCCTCCTCCTGCGCTCCCACCTGAGGCGCAACCGAAGGTTACTTCGCCACCTCTTTTAAAAGAGGCCACGCAGGCGAGAGAAACCTCCTCCTCCTCCTTCTCCTCCTCCTACCCCTTCCCCCGCCCCCTCCCTCCCTTTCCCCCTCCTCCTCCTCCTCCTCCTCCTCCTCCTCCTCCTCCTACTCCTCCCTCCTCCTCCTCCTCCTCCTCCTCCTCCTCCTCTGATGATGATGATGATGATGATGATGATGATGATGATGATGATGACTTCTGATTGTAAGTCGACGGCGCTTGCGATCTTCGAAGAAACAACGCCATAAATATACACCTTTGACACTCCGCGCGGAGTTCTTGTATCCGCGGCGGGCCCCTCCGGCGGCGCCTCCGGCGCCGCCTCTGGCGCGCTCCGCGCGCCAGGGAGGGGGGTACAGCGCGGATCCAGGAGTTCCGCGCGGAGCGTCAAAAGTTTATGTTCGTGGCGTTTCTTGTTTCCTCCCTTGATGGGCCGTTTTGCCACCATCACCACCACCAACAGAAGTTGGAGGGGGAGGGGGTCCTCGTCCTCCTCCCCCACCTCCTCCTCCCCCTCCTCCCCGCCCTCCTCCTCCTCCTCCTCCTCATCCTCCTCCTCCTCCTCCTCCTCCTCCTCCTCCTCCTCCTTACCCCCATCCAACTTCTAGTGGCGGTGTTGGAAAACAGCCTCAGCATCCCTCTTCTAGAACTGAAGATGCGCAATGCGCCTCCGTCTCTTCTCGTTCGCCCCGGCACGGGCCCTCTCAGCTGGTCCCCGCTCGGCCCGTCCCCGTCCGGGTCGCCCGCGCGGGGCGGGCCGAACCGTGGAAAGAACCGAGCTTGAGACGAGGCGCAACGGCTCGCACCGAGACGGGGCGAGCCACGAGGTAGACGTTCAGCGGCACTCCTCCCTATCTCCCTCTCTTCCTCCTTACCGCCCCCTACTGTGACAAGTGAACGTTTTCTTATTCGGCATTTCGACATTGGGCAGAGTGGGGGGAAGGGGGTCTGGCTCCAGACCTCTTCTTAGTGCGACTGTTTTAAACGGTGCTTCCTATGGTGTAGACTCCACCTGCTTGAAATAGGTACCAAAAACAGCCAAGACCAATTGGGGGACGGGGTGCGAGGCTCGCGCCAATCGGCAAAACAGTGAACAAGAAAACGACCACCTGGTGCAGCCCTGGAGCTGTGTTGGCGACGAGATGTCTGCAGTGTCTGGAACTCTTCCTGTCGCAGACGACGCCACGCTGCCCGCCCTGGCGGTCGCGTGCTGTGGGCCGCCGCATGTCTCGCTGCTGGTCCCCCCCCCACTTCGCCCCGGGGGGGGGAGGAGGAGGAAGAGAAGGAGGAGGAGGAGGAGCAGCAGGAGGAGGAGGAGGGGGAGGAGGGGGAGGAAGAGGAGGAGGAGGAGGCGGAGGAGGAGGACGAGGAGGAAGAGGAGGAGGAGGAGGCCACGGACACTATTATCTCCGAGGGCTTTGGCCTTTTGTGATGGCTGCGGGGGCCACGCGGGGGCCGCGGCCCCGCGAGTAGCCCCCACCCAACCGACCATTCACCGACCTACTTCAAAGACAGGAGTATTGGGTGGCGGGCCGTTCTGCGACGCTGTCGTGGTGAACTTCCCTGCGGCCCCGTCCGGGAATGTTGACGTCGAGGACTTCCTCTAGGCTCCGTGCTGGCCCGCCGCGGCCCGCTCTCCTCCTCTCCCCTGTGTCACCTCATGCTCGTCCGAGGGGTCCCTCTTTTTTTAAACAGCGGCCAAGTTGTTCCTTGCCCTGGGGCCCCTCGGTGCTCCAAACTGGCTCTCAGGGCCTGGTGGGTGCTTCGAGGGCCCGCCCGACGTGTCCAGCGTCGTGGGGCCCGGCCTCGGCGAAGCCCGAGGGGAAGCACCCCCAGCCCCGCGAGAGATGGCCTTGCATACAGACGATGTCGAGTCGGATTTCGGGCTGTACGGTGCGCAGAGACCCTAACCTCGATCGGTCTGAAGCTCGATTGCTCGCTCGATGGGTGTTCACTTCGTCGCCCGATGTCCCCGTCAGGCCCGACCAGTCCACGCGCAATGCCGAGTCTTCTTCTTAGTATTCTTCTTATTATTATTCTTCTTTTTCTTCTTATTATTCTTATTAGTATTCTTCTTCTTATGCCTGCTCTTCCTCCTCCTCTTCCAACTCCTCCTCCTCGTCCTCCTCCTCCTCCTCCTCCTCATTATCCTCCTCTTATTCTTCTTTGTCGTATTAGTAACAGTAGTCATGTTCGTATTATTGTTTTTGTTTGCATTCTTATGTGTATTCTTAGTAGTATCATAGTTACCATTTTTATAGCTATTATTAGTATCAGTAGTATAATTACTAATATTCGCAGCATTACTACCTTTATTCGTGTTCTTATTAACGAGTGCGAGCTTTATTATCATCAGTCGTAAGTTCTCTTTTCTTTATTCCTTAGTAGTATTACGATTATGCATATCATTGTGATTATTCGTAGTATGCTTATTGTGTTTACTACTATTCTTATGTGTCTGTATCCTCCCCCTCCTTTTCCTCCTCCTCCTGCTCCTCCTCCCCTTCCTCCTCCTCTTCCTCCCTCTCCTCCCCCTGCTCACCTCCTCCTCCTCCTCGTAGTATTATAAATAAGAATACTGATGATATCGCCGATGGTTTGTCTAACTACACTTCATATTAGTCGTAAAATTGGTACTAAATATAGTAATGATAGCATGTACGGTGGTATTTTAAAAATTATTTAACCCATACATGTATAAAAAATAAATGGGCTTATTTTTATTATCGATACCATTAATAATGTTCCTCCTCCTCCTCCTCCTCCTCAAACTCCACCTGCCCGTCCTCCTCTTCGTCCTCCTCTTCCCTGCGTATCCCTCCTCCTCCTCCCCGTCCCACGCCCCGTTCCGCGACGCCCGCGGGGGGCGGCGGTGGCCGAGACCGTGCCGCGAGAATCCGCAGCGGCGGGGGCCGAGCTGGGCAGCCGGCCATGCGCTCTGAAAGCCGCCCAGCCCCCGCAAAGGGGGGCGCCGTCCCCAGAAAAGGGCGCGAAGGGAGAAGGGGAGGGAGGAGGAAAGAGGGGGAATGGGGGAGGGAGGAGGGAGGGGTGGGGGGGAGGGAGGAGGAAGGGGGGAGGAGGGGAGGGGGGAGGGAGGGAGGGAGGGGGAGGGAGGGGGAGGGAGGGGGGAGTTCCAGGAGTTCCGCTATCATTAGAGTGACTGAAAGGCAGGCAAAGCTCAAGCTTTGGGAAACTCACACGAGAAATTCTGAGTAAATACTCGCGGCGTGTCTTCGATATGGGTAAAACGCAGGGCTTAGCAAGACCCCTGGGCTGGCCATGGCCGAAGAAGCCACAAGTGCGGCAGAACCATAATCGAAACGCTTCATGAAAGTAGAGAGCGTGTGAGGGGTGGGCCCGACCTCCAGCGATGTGTAAATGACGTCCACGAGGGAACCGTAGCACTTTGCCGTCAACAGCCTCTAGAGGCACACAAACACTTCTCAGCAATAGAGCTCGGCGCGCTACAAAAGCGACACGATCGTCCATCCTCGGCCAGGACGTGCGGGG